AAAGATAGAACTTCAGAATTTCTTAAAGTATATGTGGGGAAATATACCTGCAAATGGTCTGTTTAAACACATATATACAAATACAGGGTCATATATTAGAGGGGGGAGAGAAGCAGTTAAACCTTACAACATAAACTATTGAGGCTAATTTTAGACATTTTTAGGAGGTGTAATAGGTTACAGGATTTTTAAAGTAGATGTTTGTTATGGAGGTTTGAAGTACTGGTATTGCCTCTTTACTTCACTTGTAAACACTGTTAGTGGGACGTTGTAGCTGTAACTATGCCCTAAGCTGGGTGGAAGAGATGTTTGAAATAGCTACCTTTGAGTAATAATAAGGACATTAGACAGTTATAGTGTTTTACATGAGCTAAAACAGCCAGTTAGTTATAATAAAAGCCTTTGTAATTACAGTGGAAAGGGAAATGTATTGCTTAGTTTGAAAGGAAAGGTGTTTTTTTTGTAGAATATTCTGCATGTTAAATCATAAGTTAAGACAACATTGCAATGCTTTTTCCTTTTTGTAGACCCCCTCAGTACAAGACCATTGCTCTGGATAGAGGACCAGATGGCCTAGGCTTTAGTATTGTGGGTGGTTATGGCAGTCCCCATGGAGACTTACCCATTTATGTGAAGACAGTGTTTGCAAAGGTAAGTGTAAATTTGTTCGGTCAATCCATTTATTAGTTAGTTTACAGCAGATACTATCTTAAGTCATGACCTGAGTTTCAAGCCAAAGGATTGTTACAGTTTCTCACAGCTTTTTTTGCTTAATGCAAGTGCTGGTGAAAATGTGCTTGCAGCATTTGAAGGTTATCATCTTAGGAAGCATGTGACGCTGCATATGGCAGCGTCTTCTGCAATTCTCAAAACTGGAACTGGGCACATACTTAGAAAAACAACCCCCTTGCTTTATGTTTAGAGTGTATTTTCTTCAAGTAGTAGGAGGGAGTGTTATACTTATTTTGCCTGAGAGTCTGAAAGGTAGACCAAGATAAAATAATTAAACTCAGTCTGGACCTTTGGAGAAGTTCAGGTACTGACCTGGATTTGATAGTTTGGACTGCCCTAGGAAAGCAGTACTGAGTCAGAGAAAACTTCACTCAAGAATCCCAAACTTTTCTGGTAAATTGAAGTACAGAGCTGGGTTTTGATTACTGAATTTCTTATACAAGTTACTGAAAACTTCTTCAGGTCTTGAAAATTTCACTTCTGTGATAGCAGAGTGGAAATGTTATACTAGCTGGACGAACAGGATTAAGGAAATACAAAAGTCCTGTAAATCCGATTTCTAGATGTTGTGAAACTTAGGGCAGGGCATGCTGCAGCACTAGCAGGCTATACTACAGTTGACTGTATTCTAATAATTGAAAATTAAAAAAGTTTTATGGGGTTTTATGCACTGAACCCATCTTATTCAGACCATAAGAACAGTGTGGCAGGGAGAAAAAGAAATGCATGAGTGCAGTTACATATTGTGTCGTTTCAGGGTGCAGCAGCAGAAGATGGACGCCTGAAGAGGGGGGATCAAATCATTGCTGTGAATGGGCAGAGTTTAGAAGGGGTGACCCATGAGGAAGCTGTTACTATTCTGAAAAGGACAAAAGGAACAGTCACTTTGACTGTTTTGTCATGAACTGGCTGCCCGAAGGGGTAGGGTCAATAAGACTATATTATTTACATTCCGTGTAGCAAAGAGAATGGAAATGTTTATATAGCCTTCTTGCTCTTCCAGCTTCACAGGACTGTGTTACAACACTAAAGAAAAATAACATTTAAATAACATTTAACTGTATTTTTATATACAATAGAAGTATTTCTCTTACTGTCAAACCACTGGGATGGAGTTCTGTCAACTATGGAAAGACATGGATATTTTTCCTATTAGTATTATAATGAATGCTTGTAAGCCAAAAAAAAAAAAAAAAAAGAATGTTTGCATTAATAACCACACAACAAAACTGGAATGTTTTGCTAAGAGGCTTTAGGTATTTGAAATACATTGGAAAAACAAAAAGTCACCAAGTCAACAAAGGGGTGGCATGGGCAGCAGTAGTCAGAAAACGGAAACAAGCTTATGAAGAAAGTATTAACAAAATACGGAATTTTGGGAAAAGAAAAGTATGTAATCTGGAGGCAGATGATTAATGGACTTAGATGGTTCTTTGTATTAATTCACAATGCCCAAGTAGAAGGAGCTGGGTGTGTGACTTGGGTGGGTTTTTTTGCTTGTCTGTTTGTGTGTTTAAATTTCCTAAGTCATGGAAATTCTTTCAAAAAAAAAAAAGAAAACTGTGTTTCATTTTGGCTTATGTTTGAGGGTCTGAGTTTGGCGTTTTTTTTGAGGCAGGGGGGCGTGTGTGTTTGTTTTGAAAGGAGAGGACTTGTGCTCAGGGCCAAAAAATCCATTTGCTAGTGGAAGATACTCCTGGTGAACGAGAGTGCCCAGCAATTACAGTATTAGAAGAACTAGACTTTTCTTTTATAATAGTAGTGTTTTCTAGCCTATATGGATATGAAAGCAACCTTCCCAATATGCCATGTGTGTAAGCGAAGGTTGTCCTCTTCCAATGTGCAAGATAAACTGCAGGCTCAGTGCAGACATTTCTGCGAGCTGCTTGAATCAGAGCCACGAACAAACTGCTGAGGGCAGGTTTACTTAGCTGCAGACAGAGGCTTGTGGATATTGGTTAAGACAAGGTGGAAGAAGTTGATGTTACGATGTTGCTGCCATTATCAGTAACAGCAAAGGTAGAGTCCTCCTTGGACTGAGGAGGCCTAAAACTGGGAATTGAGGGGGGTTAAAATACTGAAAATCCCTTCCAGTGGAGGTTAGTAATAAGACAGCAGTGAAGGTCTTTCTGCATCAGCTAAAGCAGAAGAGGAGATTTGAGGGCCACAAATACTGTTTTGGGGTTATTAATTTTAGAGGCACAAATACAAGACGGTCTCTAGTAAGTATGATGCAACCATGGGGCTGTTCTTTGGCCAGCAGTGTGGTCAATAAGTTAAATAGCATCCTCAGTTCCCCCAGCTGGGATCCTGACTAAAACTTTATCCAAAAACCGCACTCACCAAAACCCTTAGCTGATTGTAGCCTGCCTTTGCTGCTTCAAACTGGCTGTTAGGAGTCTGGCAGATAAAGCACATTTTGCCCATGAGTTACCTTCCTGCAGAAAAATTTTGCCAAGTCTTTTGAGGCAGAGAGATATTTAGCTAATTAGCATGCTAATTAGCAGTAAGACCCTTTGTGTTAATTAGCAAAAAAAAAATTGTAGCAAGGAGGCCACCATGTGTTGTCATTTAAGAGAAATTTGAACTGAAAATGCAGGCAGTGGTCAGGCCATCAGGCCATTATTAGGAGGAGATACAAAAGACTAGCATTTGTTTTAGTGGGACACAAAAACAGTATTAGGAATGTCTGTGAAATGATATTAACAAATTGATAGCTATGTCTAAGTGAATTAACTAAAAAAACCACCCTCTTTGTTTCTTTAACTATTCTAGAAGTTACACTATGGTAGGCTAAGATGAAAGAAACAGATGGTACCATTACTGGATGCTCTTGTTATTGAATTGCTCTTCTGTACTTATTCCTTAGTTAGAGTGAGAAATGCCTATATTAGAGTATGTAAAGTCACTTTAAATAGTATCTATATTTGTAACAGAAGTAGTGTACAGCTATTTTGTTACTGCTGTTGTGTCTAAATGGAGGATTTAAATGAATAAATTGCAAATTATCATGATGAAAAAATAAAGTCACAGGTGTGTTTCTGAATGCTTTACAATGACATGCTTGCATTTTTCATTCTGATGCGAAAGATTAATTCAAAACGATTTAATAAATTTTTTAAAAAGGCATTACTCTTCATGCAAACCTTAAAGCATCTGATAGAACTTGCTTTGGATTTTAAGATTTTATCTTCTCTTGCAAACTCTTAGCAAATCCGTGAGACCAGATACCAAAACTGTCTGGGAATTAATATGAAGCTGCCTTGCTTTTTTGAAACAGATGGCATTAATCATTTTTGAGCCTATTTAAAAAGCATTCCTTCAGGCATCAAAGGAATCAAAAACAGTGATCAAAACAGTGAGCCATGGAGCCTGGGACTTTGCTTTTAGCTGTGACCCATGCTGCTTCTTCAGAGCACAGGATCTCCCCTGAGCCCCATGCCAGGAAAGCTGTTGCGTGAACACTGCTTCAGCGGCTGCATGCACTGGACTATGAGGTATAATAAACTTTGCGGACTCAGGATGTTTGATTTTCTTTTATCATTTGGTATGCAACGCAACTTTCATATCACAGGGTTTAGCCATGTAAGGTGCTCCCAGTTCTACCAAGTCTTCCGGTTTTGGTTTTGGTTTTTTTTTTTTTTTTTTCCGTGTGATACTGTTAACTATGGGACTTGGCAGGCTTGGAGCTGAAGGGCCTGGCATCTTAAAAGCTCCAGCCCCATTGTCTGTTCAGATACTCAGTCCTTTTTTTGATCTCTGCTTACCTCTCACCTATTCAATAGTAGTAATCTTAAAGTGGTATTAATGAAAGAGACTGTCCCTTTTGTAAGTGTGGGTCTGGACAACAGACAGCTGGCTCATGGGAATGCACATATTTCATTTCTTGGTAGTGAGCAGATATCATTGGCATGGCTACTTTCCTACTCATTCCTTTGCTGGATTTTACTTCTTTATGGAAGCAATGATATTGGTAATTCTCAGTTGGGAGAGTGGGTGGAATTTAGTAGCTATTGAGAATTCACTTCCCTGCACCCTCTCCAGCCTCTTTTTAAAAGAAAAAAAGAAGCTGTATATTCTGTAGACCTGGGCATGGGCTTGCCTAAAAAAAAGTAAGAAAACTAAAAGAAGAAAAAAGTTGTCATCTTTGTTCTTAAGTGGCAAAAAGATACTTTGTTTTACTGACAGAGACTTACAAGTAATGTAGAGGAACTTAGTAGTTTTAATATTGTTTTGCCAAGAAAGCCTTATCTCAAAGTGAGAGTGACATTGGAAAAAGGCTGGTAGTGGTTTCCCACACATAGCTTTTTCTTGCTTTTTAGAAACAAATTCTTTGAAGCATCTAAAATACTCATGTAGGGAGCACTTCGTCTTAGGCACCACTTGAAACTACTAAGAGTAGGTAAAAATTTTCACTTCCTTTACAAATGCTTTTAAAACTGCAAACACAGTTGTCCTTAGCATATTCAACACCTGCAGTGTATATACAAGCTGTTTTTAATTTCTTTCTGAATTGGAGATCATGCATCTTCCTGAACAGCTGTGTAGATCTTGATTTTAATGCGTTTTAGTTCCTAGCCACTGTTGCAGGGTTATGTGTTAGCTTATGAAGTTTTGCCACATATATTTGGGAAAATGCTAACAGTGTCAGGTTAGACTGATCCATTTCAAACGCTTCAGAACAGTATACCTACTAATGGGAGATGATGGTTAACTAAGTTGAGGTTCCTAACTTTTTGCCGTATGTTTTCATTCTCCTGTGGTAAAATCTTCCACAATATTATTGGACTTTCTACTCCCGGTGAAAATGGTCACGTGAAATGAGCAGAAAAAATACGTGTTGCTTTTCTTATTTCAGTAGAAAGAAGAGCATAATTTCTGATAAGCTAACAGTCCTGAAAACTGCGTATGTCTCAGCTGAAAATAACAGAATTATCCAAAATGGATCATTAATTTGTAACTCAAGATTTTTTTATTAAGTTGCAGGAGCAAATTGTTTTTATAAAGTGAATTAAGCAGGCTTTCACATAGTCTTTCTCATCGAAGTACTTTCTCGTCAGTCCATTTCTTCTAATCTTCAGAACGGTAGTTTAAATATGTAACTTTTGTTTTTATTACATAAAGGGAGTATTTGAATCATGTACAATAAATCTTATCTGTGTTCTTAGCTGAGAGAGTTGCATTGGATGTCCGGTTTACCCATAGACAAGTGAAGGGATGTCTAAGATGGAAGGCTTTCAATTTGTCAGCACTTGTTAATGTTTTCTGGTATTTCAGCCTTTGGCAGTTTATTAGTTAAGATTACATTTTTTAAAGTGTAGTTCAGTTTAGCTGAGAGTACACTTTGAGCAAGGTAGGCATTATAGCTAAAAGGGAGTGAATGTTCTTCATGAGTATTTCTGTGAGATGTGGGATACCTTTTTGAGACTCTCAGCTCTGGTCAAGTCTGTCCCAGTTTGGTGTGTTTTCATAGCATTATTTTAATGCTTCTCACTGTTCATAGCCACAGATGAGTGCACAATACCAGGACTGGGAGGACTGAGACCACAACATACATTTTCAGGATGCTTTATCAGGTTTCCACTACTGCACACCAGATGGAGATGCGGGAGCCTGAGTTTCTTGTTGGGCACCTCACACTGCGCTTTAGGTTGAGGCACGTTAAAGGTCTTTGCAGGCTGTAAATTTCAAGTACCTTCTCATCACAGGGATGCCATAGCCACTGTGTCCAACACTTCAGAGTTCACATCATTGGGGATTTTACAAAAAGCAATGGGAGCAGCATCTTGAGTAGTTAATAGGAAATGAGTTATTCTCTGTTTTGGGAAAATCTTTGTCTGAAACTGTCAAAAACATAACACATTTTGGTTTGCCTTGAAAAACTTCTTCATTACTCAGTGTTAAATGTGAATATGTCTGATGGGAGTAGAAAGGTCAGTATTGGAGATGAGTTATATAAATATCAATGTAATCCTAATGGTTAAAGCAGCAAATGTTTTCTTGAATTCCTGTTTGTGACGGGAACCGCTGAGGACAGATGATAATAA